TTCCAATACTGCGCCACCAACAATCTTGCTGCCGTTGTTAAATTCAAAATCAAATTGGTCTCTATAACTGTGCAATCTGTAGTTATACCTAACAAGAATAACTGAGGAGTAAACTTTATCCTCTTTTTAAGAATGTTTTGAGTAATCCACCATATTTTTATCCAAAATGCTTTGACTTTTTTACAAGTCCAAAGCTTTAACTCCTTTCTTGTAGTTTTGACACACTGTTCTTGTCCTTCTCTCTTTGGTAGAAGTCACAAAGTGAACATTTTACTGCTGTGATCTGTAATCACCTTGCTTAAAGGATGGGAAACCCATCATTCTCCAGATGTGGCTGAAAACCCATTCCAAGAGGAGGAATATAGGTAGTCCTTATCTTATGACCACAATTGAGCCTAATATTTCTGTTGCTGAGAGAGTTATTTGAGTTTTGCCCCATTTTACAACCTTTGTTGCCATAATTATTAAGTAGATCACTGCAGTTTTTACTAGCACGGTTTTTAAGTGAATCTGGCTTCCCCCATTGACTTTGGAAAAGGGGATCCCATGATTCTGGGACACTACAACTCTCGTAAATATGAGCTAGTTGCCAAGTGTCTGAATTTTGATTATAAGACCAAGGGGATACTACAACGGTTGTAAGTGTGAAAAATGGACTTAAGTCACTTTTTCAAGTATCGTAACTTCAAAAGTTCACCAAATGAACTGTCGTAGATTGAGGACTATCTATATTTTCCACTTTGAGTTATTTGGACAAAATAATAAAGGCGGGATACAAATAAATAAAATGTTGAGACATTATAATTCAGCAAAATTAACCTCTTAACTCAATGTGGCAGAACAGAACTTCAGCTTTCGAATCCCTACTTCCAAGGATGAGGAAAAATAAATTTCAGTTCTCGCAATTTGCTTTCTCCACATACTCAGTTCATGTTCTGACCCAGGCTTCCTTAAAAAGCAAAAAACAGAGTCTTGGTCCCGGCAAAATCCTTTTTATTTACATGACTGTCAATTCATTCCACAAGCCTTAGCAAACAGACTTTCAGAGGAATATTTATCCACACGAAACTTATCTCGTTTGGAGAGCTGCCAAATAACTAGTTTCCAAGCGCAGGGCAAGGCATAACTTGGCACAGAGTCTTTTATAGTCACAAACAGAACTTTCCACTCTTGAAATGACTGAAGGAACAAATTGTTTTCTGCAAAAGCCCCACTCCCAATTCGCTCCTCTTTTATCTCCTATGGGAAGGTCCAATCAATCGGTTCCACCACAAATCCGCGAAGCCCTTATCCGCGGAGACATAAGCGCGAAGACTAATTCGCGCTGTTCGAAGCGCTAAGGAAAAACGCCGCCCTACCGCAATAACATGATCGTGGAGGGCAAATCCGCGCATTCCCATAGGAGATAAAAGAGGAGCGAATGGGAAGGGGGCTTTTGCAGGGAACAATTCATTCATTCAGTCATTTCAAGAGTGGAAAGTTCTGTTTGTGACTATAAGAGGCTCTGTGCCAAGTTTTGCCTTGCCCTGCGCTTGGAAACTAGTTATTTGGCAGCTCTCCAAATGAGATAAGGTTCGTGTTGATACATAT